GAAAGTCGAACCCGCTCGTGTTTCAAACGTGAACATATACATTTACAATAATCTCTGTCAGGCTACAGAACTGTGAGGAAAAAAACCGACCCGGGACGAGCGTGAGAATATGTTGTTTTTTCCCCGCCACAAACAGTAAATAAGGTATCCTATAGCAGTGTGCATACGACATTCACTCAGGTTTTCGATACGGCCCCGTGAGACTGGGACTACAATGGGACATTGACTAAGATATGCATTATTATGACACAGTAAGTCCATTAGCTTGTAGTACAGCCCTTTCCCGAGATTAAACTAATGCACATATAAATACATAAATATAACACAAAACAAGTAATCTATAAGGAACCTTATAATTGCTACAGCGCGCATGTCGTTCAGTTCCACTACTTTATGATACTATAATTACTTAATACTGATAACCACGTGGTTTTAAATATAAATGAAGACAGAGGGTATTATCTTTGAAAATGTGAAACGAATGTAAATATGTGTCATTCAAAGGAAAATAAAGTATGTTTTCATGCGATGGCATGGGTGTGTGGTTAACACAACGGACTTGTAATCTAATGATCGCTAGCCGCATGGGCTCAAACCCAGTCCGGAGCAAAATGTTGTTTCCTCCATTAATTACTTAGTACTTGTTGGTTCCAGGAACGGATTCGAAAGTGTAGCTTCATACACAATCGAAATAATGATTTGCATATAAACCGAAGTCTATTTCGGTAAATTTTGATGGAATATAATTATGTCAGACAAACATAATCAATTTTAAAATATGCACAGATGTTCACTTTTTACTATATCCGAATAAATGGCAACATATTAACAATTTGTACTTTCGGTTTCCACACACATTATGATAAGTATATAAATAATGTTCTGTTACCTTTAATGTCTGTAAATATACTTAATTTAGTCGGACTTTTACTCGATGTATTTGATAGCTAAACTATAGTCTTCAACGCCTAGCAATAAATTACTATTTGTTTACATGTTAAGTTTCTAATTGTCGGTCAGACCGAAATACCGTATCAGTTTGGTGTATTCTTATTAATATGTTGAAGGTCCTTATCCGAAGACTAAATTACTTTAACTCGATATATTTGTGTAAAAAATTCTTCAATTTCTAGCATGAAATAAGTATTGGTCTACATGTTTAGTTTCTTAGCGCAGGTTAGACTGAATTACTGTTTCCGTTCTGTGTATTTTAACAATTGTGTTCGAGGTTATTATCCGAAGACTGAATGAGAGTGCCGTAAAGTTGCAATTGATCAACAGCAGAAGTTGCAGTTTCAAATTTATACTCTTATAGATAAATAAATGCATTAATAATAAATACGAGACACACAAGCGTGGGAATGAAATGCGATTACACATTAAGACCAACAGGCTGTAGTATAACTCATACTCGAAATCAAACGAAGAAAAAACACTGGCGCCAATCTCAATCATAATCAAATGATACTACATGTACTGCATTTTTATACATGTTTCTTATTTGATATAACTGTTGTACTTGTAATCCACTGATTAACAATGAATCTAAAATAAAGTAGTAGTTAAGATCTTTTTGTATCAAAATTTGGGGACCTTTCTGTTGAAAAGGTGTCTGAGTTACTAGTAAATTGTATACATATACATGCACCGTGTGTTAACTAGAGTGCAGGTATTAGTTACCCGCACTCCAGAGCATTCCCATTGATTGGCTCATTTTTGCTGGGGTTTACTTATTGTGACGGCAGAGAAAGTGAAAGCGACCGAAATGTCATATTTAGATGCTCGTTCATTGGCTACTTTTCTCCGAGGTTTCATATTGTGACAACAGGGAACGTGTTTTTATGTTTGACTATAATACAAAAGAGAAAGAACATCAAAACACTCGGCAATCTGATTTATACTCGGGGCTACGCCCCCTCATATAAATAAGATAGCCTCGTGTTTCGATGCTCTTTCTATTACTTATTTAAGGTGACAACGGAGTCAATTATCACTGAAAATACTTAAAATGAGATTTTTTGCTTAGTAGATTTATCAACCTTTTCTGAACACATCCGTGATTAAATTTTGGCAGCAGTTAGTCCAAAAAACGTGTTTTTAAACGTTTTAAAACGGTACCTGTACCATTTTTATCTGCTATTCGCGTAACCTGTCAATTATCGATAACGCTCCGCCCCCTGTTGAGGCATCAATGAGGGAAATCGGTAGTTCCATATATGCATGAATTACCGGTCCAAACTTGTCATACTACTCGTAATTCATGTAACTACCGTACATCTTTTATGAATATCGTCTACCTTTTATTTAGCCTTTTTTTTTATAAAATAAGAAATTGTCGGCCAATGTACGTAACGTAATGTATGAAACATAAATAATTAAGCATGGCGGCAAATCGCACGACCATGGGGTTGATTAAAAATATAGTTGGTAAAATATCCATAATGTGTGAAAATAATCTGTCTGTCCCGTTAATCTGATAGATATTACATTGAGTTTATGGACTTTTGTACAGATTTAAGGGCTTGCTTTACATTCAACCTCGTTTTCTAACAATGTCAAGTAAAACAACAACAAAAACAGACAACATTTTTTATGTGAACGCCTATATGACTTGTGGTAAGGTGTCCTTGACAAATTTCTAAACCATTTTAGGTTGTCTAAGGATGATTATTTCTCTATGAATCAATAAAAAAGATAATAAGATATATTATCAGTGAATGCTTTGAATAAATTGTTCGCCAGTAAATCGAACACAGTACTAATAAACCTGGGACAAAGTATGGTATATATTTTATATCCCAGTAAAAACTGGATCTCTATGAAGGTAAGATCATAATGATCGAGTGATACCTTTTATTTCTATTAAAATATGTGAAGCATTTATATCAATTTGGAGGAAAAAATATATAATATCCCGTTCTTATTTGTACATCTACCATGGACTTTAAAAGACCGTCAGAAGCTCAGTTTTTTTGTTATTTTAATTTATAATTTAACGGAATTTCATACACGAATACACAGACAGAGTTACACTGGTATAATATAATAATAATGCTGATGATAATAATAATAATAAACTTCAAAAGTGAAAGAATTAAATACCCCGCTAGCGGTGCAAAAATACCTTCCATTTCCCCCCACCGAGTGCCTCAAATTTTACCGAAAGTCACGTGACATGTGCGACCGATACCAGACGGACGGTAAATCACGTTAAGATTTGAAGAAATTTCTGTTATAAACTGATATTAATCAGCAACTTTTTAATTGGTCAGATGTCACTGGGTCATAAAATGTTGTTAGAGTATGTTACCGCAATTTGTGCCCTCTCTGGTGCGATATTTGTGTATTATGCAATTATTTAGCGTGAAACGTAGGGGTCCGAGAGAGAACAGCCGATTTATGACACTTCGTTTGATGCGGGTCGGACTAACTTTGAATCGGCATAACTTTTTTAATAATCAAGCAATTAACATGCGGTTTAAAGCAAATGAAAGGGAATTCATTTACGGAGGGAACCGTGTCAGGGATTTTTGTTTGCTCAATCAGCGACTTAATTATCTTTAATTACGTAATATGTATGGTGAAAAAAGTCGCATAAAATTTTTGACGTTACGTAATATTTTTTGAGAACAGATAGAAAAAATTTGAGACACGGTTCCCCAGATATTATAAGTATGTTTATTTTCCCAAAGTTTGAAGACAAAAAAATAAAAAATGACTTTGATATGACGATTTAAAATTTTAGGATTTTTATTAAAAATCAATCATTTACAAAGGCATTTTTTTCAAATATGTTATTTTTATGACGATCAACGACATTTAATGCACAAATATTAAATAAATAACAATTATTACTAAAATAATGTGGTTTAAATGACATTTATGTGAGTACCACGGAAAGTGTCTGTTGTCACCTTAACGCATGATATAGTTTCATGATAGTAGTATCATTCTTTTATTCAAATTAGACATATTCAGTAACATGTCAGGGATAAGCATAGAATATCTTTAGTTATTCAGACCCTGACTATTGAAGTAATTTTCAAGCCCCACTATTTATCAGAAATCCTTTTGTTACTCAAAAGCTTTTTTCTTTAATTCTTGGCGCCCTGATGTAGTTATCAAAACATTAATTATTAGTCAATTGCCGAAGCCATCATTTGATTGTGTTACTAATTTTGCAATTTATGGGATATTAATCAATAAGTATATTGTATTTGTCATTTTCATGAAAAATACTTTCAAAAGATAGGAATGAGATATTGAAATCAAACTTTGCATACAGCAAGCGTTTATGAAGACCACGTTAAGGAAAGCATATGGACCCCCTGGTCATTCATGTTGCGCTATGGTTATAGATAACGAATTCGAACTGGAGAATTATACAGAAAATGAAATGCAAGCATATTCAACAATAAATTACACTCTTTATAAATTTATCGAAATTTATTTCAATTTATGAATACCGCTCAGCCGGTGCCAGGGGGCATTAGGGATGTTGCAAGTATTCATTATCCCTCATGTACAGACTCAAACAAACCGAGTCTGCAATTCTCTTGTAATTTTGTTGTGATTAATGCTCCCGAGGGATCACTTTGTTTCCTGGTTTTTAACGTAAGCCATTTATTTTACGAATTGTTATATCATAAAATTATCATTTTGAAATTATCTTTTCCGTAGGTTCTTTCCGTTCAATTAATAGCTCATTTCTTCTTAAGGCCCTTATTGCACTTTTGACATTTTTACCTGCAAATCCTGCATTTGGTCTTTTTGAAATTTATCTCAAATTCTTCATTCCAGCGTGTGTTCTACTTTAAGTATTTAGAAATATAACTACTGTATCTTAAGTCCAGGGTATTAATAGAAACCCTTATTTAAGTTTGACATGGAAAAATGTTTGTAATATTGCTATAATAGTCCCCTTAGTTACTATTTTATGTACTGTTTGTATATTTGTTACATTTATAATATAAAAGAAAACAGACTTTGTTCACTTTTGGGGGTTTTTTTTGTTGTTTTATTTTTGTTCCAAAGAATATACATTTAATATTCTAATGACAAGCAAGCCTAACAATGTTCAATATGAACAATGTCTTTCGTCCGCCCATTCATTAATGATATACAATTCTGGTAAAATCCAATGAACCATTGAACAGATTACAAGCAGACATCTGGTCATCAGATGTTTACTAGTTCATTGTCTCTTGATGCATTTTTTGCTTGGACGTCATTTGATACTTTGCATCAATGCTTTTCTTGTACTCTATAGTTATGTACCGAACTCTTTTGTTCACTTTACAATTTGAGGACCCTTTTATCTATTTTTGGTACAGCTGACGTACATACACACACGAACGTAGATGATATCTGATTTTTCTTTTGCTTTTAATGATGATATAATAAATTACCTGATTTAGCCTTTTCATATTCTAACTGTTTTTTTTGTTGAGGAGAATCTTCTTCCTTGAGTCTTTTTATCTCCTACAACAGAAATAATACCGGTAGTACAAACAAGTGTGTTTAATTTGGTAATTTTCAAAAATGATGATAGTACAAAGTATTATTGGAATTTCCGGCAGTCTGTCTAGCACACAGTGTCTTAATATTTCTCAAAAATATCAATTGAATTATTACTGATGAAGTGCTGGGATATTTGAATTATCTCAAATATAAAAATTAATCTTTAAATCATTGCTGTTTCTTTTAATTTGGTGTTTTTAGTGCAATCGTGCATACTTTACTTAAGATTAATGCAAGTGAAGGATAATAGAAGGTCTAAATTTTATAATTATGTAAGTAACCCTTTTCACATTGATACGCTTCTTTTTTATTTGTTTTTTTATTTTGCAGTAGTCTTTAGTTTGAATGATAACAAAACTTGCGTTTGAGCTTTCTCAAACATTTCATGCACTACGTACCAGTATGGTATTTGATCACTCACCTGTGATCAATTGCTAGATAATACATCAGTAAGGTAACATTAAAATATTAAGAATCCTATATGTAAATGTAAAGATTTGTCAAAATATTCCTAAAACAAAATGTTGGTTAACAAACCATGCATAACTGCCACACCACAAAAAGACATCACAAACGCTCAACTCTGAGTGCTAAATACTACAGCGAGATGAAAAAGGAAGGGTATAACATTATAGTTGTATGATTAATATGTCCTCTGTCAAGTCACTTATCAACATAATTTTAAGTTGTAAACGTGAACCCTTAGCATGGCTCTTTTTGACCCATCATCACTCAGCCGATTTTTCATAGTTAATATGTAACACTTTAGCCATATAACCTCAGGTTTGCATTTATAACAAAGGGAACGATTTATATTACTTTTTAAGGACAGTTTGGGCCACAGCACGTTCAATTTGCTTTTAGTATTTTCTGAGATATTTACATACCTCCTCTTAAAATTGTTTACCTTATGTGACTGTTGTCATTTGTATATGTTTCCAAAAGGATCATTCTTGTAAAGGTTGTTTAAAATGGTATTGCATTGTTTAGATGCCGGCAAGTTGTTAAAGGGATTATGAACACTTAAGCTAACTTACAGAGCAAAGTCATACTAAAATTCACCACGTTGGTGATATCACAAGTGTCATTTGTCTTGGATTAGAATGAATAAAATGTCAATTATCACTTATTGCAAAGTAAATTAAGTGAGATACAAGTTAAATATTTATACGCTGACAGTATAGACTGGTTTTATTTTGGGAAAATGTTCATCCTAACGGCATTTTTCAGTACAAGCAGGTACTAGTAGTTGGGCTTACTTGCCTATTTCGCGTACGCTGAATTCATTTATTTCCTCTACCAAAGCAGTATTTTTAGTCCTTGACCTTTAAAAATCAATTTCAAAATTGCTGTCACTGATTTTTTAAAAAAATTTACTTTAATTCTCAAATGAGCGAGATATAAACACATTTTTTGGCATTTTAATTGAAGGCTTTGTTAATTTTAGTCTGCTGAAGAGTGAACGAGAAGAATAGATGCAAAAACAATAAAAAATATTTAGGCAGCCATCTTGGATTTCAAAATGGCTGACAATTACCTATGTTTTATACACTGTATTATATTTAAAGTAAACAAGCCAAAGAAGGCATTTTACAAGGCTTGTTATCTTTTATTAGAAGTGCAATGATACTAATTAAGACTTACAAGCGCAGACGTTGAAAAACATCCATTAAAACTACAAACTTTATGGTGCAAAAAAGTTACAATTTATACGTAATACAATTTAAATGTAATACAGTGTAAATGCGAGTCATATTTGCGTTCACTTTGTCATTTAGATGTTATTTTTATACCTCTAAGAATACAAAACATATGAATACAAAACATATTCTTTAAAATGTTCTATTGCGATGGTTTGCAAATTGGTTTTGTATCGCCCTGAAGGAGAACCTGCTCAAATGTCTGTCCGTCTGTCTATCTGTCCGAGCGTCTTCTTGTGTCAGTTAGGGATATTTGCGATCACAATAATGGCGTTGAGATTATTTCCGTATATGCACGACCTTTAGGATAAGTCATTGGTTATGGGAGGAAAAAAAGGCTGTTGTTAGAGTTAGAAACATTAATGAAGATCACAGACATCCGCACAAGTCATTAAGTAAGAACTTGCCCCTGTCTGTCCGTTTTAAGTCCCGTCCATAACTGTAATTCTTGGATGGATTTTTAAATAAATTGCATTAGTGCGTGGCATATTGAGAAAGACCCAGGTTTGAAGCTGAACACTTCAAGACTTGAAAGTGCTTGAAATAAGTTCATTTTAGTACTATGTCATTAAAAGTTGGATTTTTAAATAATTAAGCATAAATACACGACTTAATAACGGATTTTGAATGATGTACTTTATTTTATTACTTATTCTTCAAACAGAGATACCATGATAATTGTATGGTTACTTTTTATGTCAATTTCAATTGCGCAAGAACATATACTGAGAAGTGTAGTGTCTGAGTGCCAATTCAACAGCCCAAAGATCATGGTCATTTCTATCCAGAAAGACAATTTTGTTAAAGTTCATTAGTGGGGAACCAACAAAAAAAACAACAAACACGTCTTAGTGTTTCCAAGAGTACTAGGAATCGCCATCCAGGCTGGCATTCGAAAAATATTTCTTCATGGAATTAACTCCTTTCTAAACAATAGAGTTATTGTTCCTTCTTTAAGAGTTATATAGTGACTATTGCACAGTAGCCTACAAACTGCTGTCGAGCTGTGTGCATGAAGATAGTATTTCAATTGTTTATATAATCCGACAAGAACATGGCGATTGGCGTGCTCAGTAGATGCTCCTGTGTAAGGACTTTTGTCGTCTATTTTGTTATCATGTGGTATTAAATTCTCTGTTTTGACTGACCTACTGGGATAAAAATTGTAAATCTTGTTAATCGCAAATGTCACCGTCCTGGAACGACAATAACTTCGCGTAAATGTGTAATTTGAAAAGGTTGTGGCATGCGCAAGAGCACGGCCACATGGTTGTGGCTATAACATAAATCATGATATTAATGTGAAAGTTGATTTATAACTTTTGAAATAATTGATGCCTTTTAAACCAATTGTGCATAAATATATGGCACATTGAGAGAATGAGTCATGTAATACCCAGCTGATGATGTAGATCAAAGACCAAAGTCATGCTTTCACTCAGAACAAAATATTTTCTAAAAGTACCCAAACAGTTGGCCAACGATTCTGTCATTCATAGATGTACTAAAATATTTTGCATAAATATGCCGCTGTAAGACGAAATGTAGGGAACAAAGGTTCCAAGGTCATACTTGAATGCCAAAAGTCATGATTTGAAAGTACATTGGTGATCATGTCCAGTTTACATAATTGTTATTCAGCCAGAGCAGCAAAAAAATTACGTGGTACTGTACTTTGAAACAATGTCTTCAATGTTAATCAAATGTCATGTATCCTTCACCGAGTCGAGCTTCGGGAACATTTCAAGTGGCACGCCCTTGCTTATCTTTGTATTACATAATTTTTGGATAATATAATCAAAAAAACTTTTGTTCATAATTATTTTAGTCACTAAAATTACACTAAGAAATACCTCAGTAATTTTATGGAGAGTTGAAATATATGAGATAAAATAAATATATCGTAGCAAATGACATTGGGAAATCTAATATTTCATAATGGAATAAGATACTATATCAATTTCTTGAACGATAGCCAAGTAAAATATTATTATATTTTAGTCCTTTGAAGGCTTTTTAGAATACATGAGATAGAAAAAGGTGCAGCGTCCTTGGTAAAGTGGCATATAATGTACATGCTGATATCAACTAAGATTATGACGTAATTTCATAAAATCACTTTCCCTATGAAATTTCGTGATCCTGAACCAAAGCATACTCAAGTAATCATCCGGAAATGGTCTGAGACCTTTGACGTAATGACCTTAAAATAAATAGGAGTCATCTGTCAGAGGTTATCAATCCCCATATCAACAATGATCCTAGACCAAAGCGTACTCAAGTTATCCTTCGGAGATAGTTTAAGCATTTACGGTCAATATGACCTTGATTTTTCACCTACTGAACCCAAAATCAATAGGTGTCATCTGCCAATGATGAACGAACTTCCTGACGGACTGGAAAAATCTAAATGAAGATCAATATCTTTAGCTTGTACAGAAAGGTGTTAGAAAGCTTTGTGGTTTCATAATGGCCCTTTTTTGCACCCACTTTAGGGTGGGGGCATTCGGATTTTAACTTTGTCCGTCCTTAAAAATTTACCATGGTTGTATGTACATGTACTGGAATATCAATCGGAAACCGTTGATAGAAACTTCAAGTTTTACCTCTTGTGCTTTTGAAATTTTAGATTCAAGGTCAGATATTTTGTTTTTAAGCTCGTCATATTCCTCTTTCGTTGCAGCATTTCCTGTTGCTTCTTTGATTTGACTGAGAATTTCGTCAAAGCCTTCAGTTGTAATAATGAAGTCCTCCTTCTTCAGCTGATGAAAATAATAATTATTTTCTATTTTCTTTCAGAAGTAAAATTAGAGCTCTTCAATTTATGATATACACCCTTATATACTCGTACAACATATTATGTATAATAGGTAAGACATTATTTCTAAATTATCTCAATTGATTGTTGTTTAATTTTTTCACTGATACAGTAAAAACTCTGAAAACCGGACCCTGTCCGGACTTGACCAAAAGTCCGGTTTTCAGAGGATTCCGGTTTTCAGAGGTTTTATACATTTATTGATTAATGTGATGTGTTTGAACAATGACTTTGTTCAATCATTTTGTATTTACTTTTCAACCCTTTTGTCTAAGTCATATTTTAATTTATTTTTGCAATAAATGTCATAAGTAATTTTATTATGCAAATCCATGAATATAATTATGAAAATCAGCAATTAAAACAACACATTGTCTGAATTATAAATGTTTTTAATTGGCTTTTGAAATATGTAATTAATGGAATTTAGTATTACTATTTTTGCAATAATTGATATCAAACCAGAGATAACTTCAAGGTCAAAATTTTAAGCAAAACAGAAATCATTTTACAAGTTTCCCAATTATTCTTGACATTTTATATTTAAAAAAAAATTAAAACATTTTGAAAAATCATGCCTTTACAGGGAAAGACACAATTATGATGAAAGAGCTTTAATTTAATAGCCAATCAGAAATTAACATAAACTGACAAGTGTTTTCACACCTGCATAGATAAAAGGAGGTGATCCTTAATTGGTAATTGAACATGTCACCAGCTGAGATTATAATTTAATCTACATTAGAATGCACAGAAAGTTGTCACTTAAAATTGCTGTCCGGTTTTCAGAGGATTTTTTATGCATGTTTAGCATTAGAAACCATAGAAAATTGTCCGGTTTTCGGAATTCAGAGGTTCCAGTATTCAGAGGATTTTTTTCAATGAACATATAAGGAGAAATTACGGGACTTTTAAAATGGTACGGTTTTCAGAGGATTCCGGTTTTCAGAGGGTCCGGTTTTCAGAGTTTTTACTGTACTTATATAAAAACGTTTATGACAGGATGTATGGTATAGGTATCTGATAGTCAGACTTTTTCTTTACTTCTTTTTTCATACCTTAAAATTAAAATCACATTCTGTTTCGTATTTTATACTGATTTATATGTATCTGAGGAGTTTTATTTCATAAATGTCAGTTAATTTAACGCAGTTGTTAATTTAAAATTGACTTTAATAAAACCATTCCGAACACTTTTTCCAATTACCCTAAAGAATACCTCAATTAAGAGATGTGTATTTTTAGAATATAACTGAACTCCATCAGGATTTCAAATTATACATGCAAATATTTACACTTACATCTTGGAGTTTTCCAACAGCTTGTTGTGCAGCATGATGATGAAGAAGCTCCTTTCCATCTTGAAGAACTGCTATCATATCATCAATGAAAGAGTTAGCATCCCTTTCCTCTAACTCCATACTGTTTGAGTGAAAAATCTTATTTCTGTACTGTCGTACCTGAATGGAAAACAAATCTAAGTTGAACATATACGCATAATTATAAGCAATATCTATGATTATACTGTTTTCAGCACTGAGACTAAACAAGACTCTTATAATTAAAACAGTTACTGTTAAGCGCGTTACCCGAATGCTTCGGATAAGGACCTCGAGCACAATAGTGAGAATACACAACGGATACGGCAAAACGAATTTATCCGCGCACAAATCTCTAGGTGCACAAGTCCACATGCTTTGCCGATCGACATTTCTGTACCGTCTGGTGACACTAGCTCAAGCAATTTGAGCTACCGACCTACATGTGACACAACATGAACAAACACACGTACACGGACTAGGGACATCAATATACTACCTTACCCAAACTAGCACGGATAATGGAAACAAAGAAAATTTAAAGCTTGGCTTAAAAATTTACACCTTATAAAAATAAAATTTCTTGCGTAATTCTTTATGAATTAACATTCATCTTGGTAAATTGCGTATCAGACAAAACAATTACACTAGTCTCATAGTTACCGGTATATAGAAATAAAGTCACCTTAGTGCAGTTATTGGTTAAATACTATTTTAAATCTTGTAAGAGAATCTCAAGCTTTCATGTAAGATTTGGTCCATATTCAACATTAGTGCAGTGACGGATTTTTGCTTATTATAGTGATGTTGTAAGAGATTAGAATTAAACAACAAATATACAAAAATATTTACCTTTGAAAAAAGATTGTTTGGTCCTGTTACATTGCATCCAATATGATTATGAAAATATTTGTTATTTATGATAACATGTAGTAACCCCGAGCAGTCAACGTCGAATGCTGATGTCTTGTCCTTGTACCCGGGAGCATTTATAAAACATTTACAGACACTCCATGGGTCAACGGACCAATCATGGGCATCGCTGTTTTTCCAAAAAGGTGCCGGTGGTATTGATGCATGATTCTGTATAATGCTGTCATAGATGGCACCACATAGGTTGTTAGGACAGGGTTTCTTATTATTTGGAAAGCAACAGTTACATTTATCTTGCTTGAATGGACACACTCCTTTTGAGACTCGGACATGGTCTGGCTGGAGAGTTGTTATCTGACAGACGCCACATGTTACATTTGGTTTAGGAGTCTTTGTTCCTTGAATTTGGTTTATAATATCTTTGTGCTGCTGTTTTCCTATGTCATCACAAAATGGTGCTAGTCCCTCTTTCAGGAAACCTAAGCCTAGGCCTGCCTTGACCCACTGTCGGTATTTGTTGTTCTTCAAATGTACCTCGTGCGCCATCATAAGATCTAGGGAAACAAAAAAGAAAAATATTGTAACTACATTTGTAGAATCCAATGAAAATGGATTTAAATTACGGCTGAACGCAAACAGTTCTATGCCCAGAAAGATTGGCCGAGTAAATGGCATTGACTAACAATAAAGACATGGTCACTATCACAAAAGGGTTATGTAGGCCCTAGATCTCCCACCTCATATTCATTGTTAGAAAAGGGCATCATTCCTCAATACAGAAGTAGATAATTGGGGTACATTTGGACATGTCTGACAAGATGCGTATTTACATAAATACGCAATCAAATTTTTTCCCAAGTAAATAATAAATATAAATCATAACAGCATTTCAATTGTTTGCATAAAATATTCATTTTATTAGCAGCGTACAAATTAATTTACGCAAACCGAACGGGATGATTTTTGGTTGAAAGTTTGCGAATTTAGGCACCAAAATCAATTAAACAATTTCTATGACACAGCACGTGCTTTCTGGTATCACATTTCAAATGTGTCTGGTAAAAAGTTTATATAGATGTTTAACATTATCAATCCTGACTGTTTATTGAACCTTGACAGTTTATTGAACCAAAATGTTACACAGAAACTCTGTCTTCTGTTGTAAAGATTTTTAACAAAGGGAATAACTCTATCTATTTTTGGCGTCCGCGCCGAAGCGCGGCGCAGATTTTGTGAAAGGGCGACAGCAACTTCTCGAGCCTTTTAGTCGGTCATAATAAAAGCCGATCATTCAGATCGGTATGAGGGTGCTTGATTATTATTAATTAAGAATGAAATGTCGCGATATGTTACAATGAATAGCGAACTGGAGAATTTCGCAATGCAAACATTTTCAAATGAAATAACCTTTTCCGTCAATAAATCGCGCTCTTCGGGTTTTTTTATTTATCATTTTGTAGTACACAGTGGGTTATCATGGTATGTTATTGTTGTACATGTATCCTAGAATGATCAGTTGATGACCTAAATATTCCAAAAATCTATTTATAGATATATCTATTTATCACTCCTATCGGTAATTACCGGTCTCTCCCGGTCTATTTTGACCGGGATTTACTAGTGACCGGCGAATAGTACCACACGTTTATTGTCCGGTCTCTCCCGGTTTTGGAGTAGATGTTCGATATCGTTACAATTAGAAAAAAGAACAACAAAAACATGTTTCATTTTATCTATATGAGATAAAAACAATAAAAATGTACACGGATTTATATGTAATATAAATCCGTGATATGTACAATAATTGAGAAAAAGGTACATTTTTATGGTATTAAAATGACATTATCAACTTTGAAACATTTAATTTGTTATCCGTGTTTAGTAAAGATGCCGAGGAATTATTCAAAGTTACAAATTAGATTTTATGAATTATTCAATTGATTGATAATTTAAAAAATGATAAAGAAAAATACAAAATTTTAATGTACATTTACATGGTTTAAGAATAAACAATATTATATATTGAAAGATAAACCATAATTTACTGAATTTTTCCAGTTAAGTTTTGACTTATAATCCTCGGTCAATATGACAATTGAATTCTTAAAATTTATTTTACAATTTTGAAAAAAGAGTAGTAAAAACTCAGTATTAAAATAGCACATAAATCACAAAAAAGAAAAGAAAACAATATTCATAAAATTTGTATTTTTTTTATTAAAATTAATAGATATTACAATTATTGTATAATAAACAATTATGCTCAACATGATCAACATGGTAATATAACCAGTGTAATATTTTTACTTACTTAAAGTGTGAACAGATACCTTAAGAGGGGGTCTTCGCTAATAGCGATAACATAATAAGGGACAATTACAAAGGTGTGGTACGTGTTGATCATGCGTTATACATATGGATTAAAAATGATTCCATACATGTATATCCGTTGCTATTAATAACCACGATCATATAGAAATAACAAGTAATATTCTAATCTCTAGCATGCCAATCAAAGTTCATAATGAACAATGTCTTTCGTCCGCTCATTCATAAGTGATATACATTTCTGGCAGTTTATAAGAATATCTTGTCATCATATGTGTACTAGTTCATCTTCACTTGCTGCATTTCTTGCTTGGACGCCCTTTGATGCATTGCATCAATGCTTTTCTTGTACTTTATTGGTATCAATTGAGTGAATGATATAGTTCCCTTGGTTAGCAGAATTTTAAGACTTGGTTCGAATTCAATAACAAGAGCACCGAAAGGGAGGGCTTAATACGCCCGGATGTAAATTTGTTTCTGTAATGAAAATAATCTTCCAATTAAGGTAGAGACGCAATTAAGTAACTTGTCTGAAAAATATTTTATCTTAATTATCTTAACGATATTGTATGACCTTCATTGTGGAAGCAGTTTTGACCCTAAGTGCATGGTTAATTAATCTTCAATGGAGGTCAACTAGGCAATCACATATACCAAAATAGTCGCAAAAGATTTATCTACAATTTTTTCTTACTATAAGGGTCAACACATTAAAGACATTATATTCAAATAAAAAATGTACTGTCTTGACGGTCAAGGTCAAAATTAATCATCATTGCCTGTTTTGTAATAAGTGGTCTTTTGTCTAAGAATAAAAGAAATCATAAATAAATATCAAAGTTAAAGCAATGTTGGTAAATTTAAATAATTTGACCTTTAAGGTCAATTAATGTTCATGGTCATATCAGAATATTTCATTAATCGCTTTTGTCCAAGTTTTACTCGAATCTGTAAATGAATAAAAAAGAAATGACAACTATTATTCATTTTACCGTGAATGTTATGGTCAATTTAAGAATTTAGGTCATTTTAAAACACTTCATCAATTAAGATGGGTTGAAGTATAAACCAAATCCGTCAATAAATAACAAAGTTATGTCAATTTACGGAAATTTCAATAATTTATCCTGGACAGTTCATCTATATAGAAAAATCAAGGTCATAACAGAAGAATTTACATGTTGTTTTGATATATGTGTTATTTTGTCAAATATAAAAAATCAAATTTGTAACTAAAGATTATAGTTATTGCCATTGTAGCAAATTAAATATTGTGACCTTCCAAGGTCACTTCAAGGTCAATACCACATCAGTATAATTCAACATGTATGTTTTT